CTAACTTTCAGGAGAAACATTTTGTTATATATATATATTTTTTTTATAAAAAAAATAGGAATAGTTTATAGGGTTTTATGCTATTTGGTAATATTACATTTCATGAAAAACATGTCATCCTTATCTAACAAAAGGTTTTTTTTTTTTTTTTTCCTCCCCTTTTTTTTGTCTTTCTTTTTTTTTACTGACTGGTAATGGGATCGCAACCCTCGGTGTCGCGCCCGTACCAGGGACCGGCAACGGGATCGCAACCCTCAGTGTTGCGCTCGCACCGCGCTCAGCCAGTGAGCGGGAACCGGTCTCCACATGGGATCCGAACCCTCGGCGGGAGCACCACCACGCTCCCAAGCAGCACACTCTCCAGTGCGCCACCCGGCCGGCCCTAACAAAAGTTTTAAATTGGCCTCTTTATTGTATAATTTCTGGAGCTGTCATTCTTGCAAGGATCTGGCTTTACAGTTTTATAAAGTCCCATATTACTTCCCATTAACAGGGTACTGCATTAGTAAACCTGAGGTGATCCTCAAGTTGGAGAAAGGAGCAGAGTCATGGATGATAGAAGAACAACCAAACCAGTGCCTCCCAGGTTAGTAAGCACATCCTGGGTAGAGTCTGGGAAGAGTAAAACCCTGCAGATCTTGACTGTGTTCAGCTGTTTCTAGCAATTATTCCACAGGTCCGTGAGCTGAGGCTGGCTCATCTCCTTGCATTAAACACATGTATTATGTAGTCTCTCAGATGGACTCATACGTATATATCTCCATATTTTATTTTGCTGTTTTTTAACAATGTATTTTCCTAAAATATAATCCCTACATTTCTCTTCTTTGACATTTAATTTTGCTATTCATCTTTTCGATATTCTCAGTTGCCCTCATGTCCTGCACTCTCATGGACGTTGGTTTTCAGACTCTGTCCTTTTGTGTTACTTAAAACAGAATATCTATAACTGAGTAATTTATGAAGAAACAAACCCTATGTCTTACAGTTCTGTTCTGGAGGCTGAGCATTCCAAGGTCTAGGGGCTGTATGTGGTAAGGGCCTTGTTTTTGGTGGTGATTCTTGGCAGAATCCCAAAGTAGAGCATGATATCACATAGGAAGTTGATAAGAAAATGAGGAAAGAGGCCCAGATATGAGTCTTCTATACCACCACATCAGAAATTATGGAGCTGAGGCTGACTTAGCACAGGGCATGGAAAAGGAGAGTTCTTGATTTTATAGAAGAACCAGAAGACTCATGGTATGAAGGTAAAGTGAACCGAGGGTTTCAAGTTGAGGGACTGAGATTGTTGTTTGGAAGTGGAATTTGAAGTTAGTATTTTCCTCTTCTCTTTGTAGAAATCATTCTAAAATGACAATTAAATTTAGAAATGTACAGGAGACTTTTATTTTTTATGAGCATAGTAGCCATCCAAAACTCCAGTGCATAATAGTGATGCTTTCATGAGCAATGAATTATCAAGTGGGAGTGTGTGTTCCAGAGTTTGGGAAGATAATACAAGTTGATTTTATAAGGAGTCAAAAGGACCTTTTTCAAAGATGGTGGCAAAGCCTTGGTTGCAGAACCAAATATTTTAGACCAGCAGGGTGTCCTGTAGGGGTGGACTGAAGTTTCCTGTAGAGTAATGGTTTTTTGAAGCACAGGAAGTCAGGTGAAATGAGTAATTTGTGGGAGGCTCTGTGTAGGGTGGGAAAAGGGAGATTTTATTATTTCAAAAACCTCTACACGCCTATAGACATTTCCTAAGGAAGAGTAAAAAGTATAGAAACATTAATGCAAAATTCTTAACCTAAGTCATTTTGTTCCATATGTGATGAAAAATTGGATCATTCTGCACCTAAAGGTAGCCAATGAAGGAAAACCTGGCCATATTCAAAGCAGAAGAATGAGAAAAAGAGCGGAGATAACCACTATTGTTATAAAAATAAAATAGAGTAAAAACTGTAATAATAAAAGAGAGTTAAAGAAAAAAGGGTAAAAAAACAAATGGAAGGTGATAAGCAATTATTTGAAATCTGCAATTAGGAAAAAGGTAAAAATTACCAAATATTTCATCATGATGTGGAAACAAAAAAGTGAATGAAGAAGCAAAGAAGAATGTGACATAGTGTTAGAAAATATACTAATACAATATAACATTATGTCAGTATAAAGAAAACCCATATACTTCTGAAGCCACTATTGATTTTTATAAAATCTTTTATTACTTGGGTTGGGAGAAACTTCTCTACCTTTACATGAGCATGCAATAAAATATGCTTATGTGTGGCTCATGGATATGGGTTTTGTTTTTTTTTTTTGTCATTTCAGATGTCCAGATAATCAATGACCTAATTGAGAGGAGCCAGGAAAGTCATGGTAGATACTTGTGGCGAGGTGTAATCATCAATGGAAATCAATCAACTGAGGAGAGAGTGGAGTTAGGAAAATCAGTGAATGCACATTCAATGTATATTTTGAATATGGTTTTAAATAATGAAAACTATTCAGGAGTGGGGCATGAGGAGTTTGACAAATGTCAGAATGCAGTTCTTCCAGAGACCGGTGCCATGTGTACTGGACAGAAACCTGATAAGCATAATATATCTGAGGAATCGCACAGTCATCATGAGCATCTTAGTGAGCATCCTAAGATTCCAGCTGGGCAACTTTCTGAATATAGTGGAAAAGGACAATCCTCCAACACAGTGCCAATAATATTTGCATATAAGAAAACTCATATGGGTGAGACCACTTGTAAATATAGTGACTATGGGAAAGCCTGTAATAAGTCATCTGTCATTGCCCAAAAGATAGCTCAGGTAGGGATGAAAACTTTTCAATGTATCATATGTGGGAAAATGTCCTATAAAAAGGCTAGACTTACTCAACATCAGATTATACGCACAGGAGAGAAACATGATAAATGCAGTGAGTGTCAGAAATCTTTAATCAAGCAATCATACCTTATTTCATATGAGGGAACATCTACAGGGAAAGCTTTTAACCAAAAGTCAGCCCTCAACAGGCATCAGGGAATTCACAAAAGTAAAACAACATATGAACGTAAGGAAAATTCAAAAGCTTTTAACCAAATGTCAGCGTTCAGTATGCATTGGAGAACTCACCCAAGTGATAAGCCCCACAAAAGTAATGGATGTAGAAAAAGAATTAACAAGCCATCCTTCAGAATGAATCAGAGTACTCACACAGGGAAAACACCTTATGAATGTAAAGAATGTGGAAAAGCTTTTAAGCAAAAGCCAAAACTCAGCAGGCATCAGAGAATTCACACAGGTGAGAGACCATATGAATGTAAAGAATGTGGAAAAGCTTTTAAACAAAAGTCAACCCTCAATATGCATCAGAGAATTCACACAGGTGAGAAACCATATGAATGTAAAGAATGTGGAAAAGCTTTTAACCGAAAGTCAACCCTCAGCAAGCATCAGAGAATTCACACAGGTGAGAAACCATATGAATGTAAAGAGTGTGGAAAAGCATTTTATGAAAAGTCACACCTCAGCATGCATCAGAGAATTCACACAGGTGAGACACCATATGAATGTAAAGAATGTGGAAAAGCTTTTAAACAAAAGTCACACCTCAGCATGCATCAGATAATTCACACAGGTGAGAGACCATATGAATGTAAAGAATGTGGAAAAGCTTTTAACCAAAAGTCAATCCTCAGCATGCATCAGAGAATTCACACAGGTGAGAAACCATATGAATGTAAAGAATGTGGAAAAGCTTTTAATCGAAAGTCAGAGCTCAGCATGCACCAGAGCGTTCATCCAAGTGAGAAACCATATAAATGTAAAGAATGTGGAAAAGATTTAAAGTTAAAGTCACACCTCAGCATGCATCAGAGAATTCACAGAGGTGAGAAACCATATGAATGTAAAGAATGTGGAAAAGCTTTTAAACAAAAGTCACACCTCAGCAGGCATCAGATAATTCACACAGGTGAGAGACCATATCAATGTGAAGAATGTGGAAAAGCTTTTACCCAAAAGTCAGCCCTCAGCATGCATCAGAGAATTCACACAGGTGAGAAACCATATGAATGTAAAGAATGTGGAAAAGCTTTTAACCAAAAGTCACACCTCAGCATGCATCAGATACCCCACACAGGTGAGAGACCATATCAATGTAAAGAATGTTGAAAAGCTTTTAACCAAAAGTCAATCCTCAGCATGCATCAGAGAATTCACACAGGTGAGAAACCATATGAATGTAAAGAATGTGGGAAAGCTTTTTATGAAAAGTCACACCTCAGCATGCATCAGATAATTCACACAGGTGAGAAACCATATGAATGTAAAGAATGTGGGAAAGCTTTTTATGAAAAGTCACACCTCAGCATGCATCAGATAATTCACACAGGTGAGAAACCATATGAATGTAAAGAATGTGGAAAAGATTTTAATGAAAAGTCATGCCTCAGCAATCATAAGAGAATTCACAGAGGTGAGAAACCATATGGACGTAAAGAATGTGGAAAAGCTTTTAATTGAAAGTCAGAGGTCAGCATGCACCAGAGCATTCATCCAGGTGAGAAACCATATGAATGTAAAGAATGTGGAAAAGCTTTTAATGAAAAGTCACACCTCAGCATGCATCAGATAATTCACACAGGTGAGAAACCATATGGATGTAACGAATGTGGAAAAGCTTTTAAACAAAAGTCACACCTCAGCATGCATCAGAGAATTTACACAGGTGAGAGACCATATGAATGTAAAGAATGTGGAAAAGCTTTTAACCAAGAGTCAATCCTCAACATGCTTCAGAGAATTCACACAGGTGAGAAACCATATGAATGTAAAGAATGTGGTAAAGATTTTAACCGAAAGTCACACCGCAGCAGGCATCAGAGAATCACAGAGCTGAGAAGCCACAGTAATGTAAAGAATGTGGAAAAGCTTTTAACCAAAAGTCAACCCTCAGCATGCATCAGGGAATTCATACAGGTGAGAAGCCACGTGAATGTAATGAATGTGGAAAAAGGTTTTTTTTTACAATGTCACAGTTGAGAAGACATCAGGATACTCACACAAGAAAAAACTCCTTATGAATGCAATATGACAGGCCCTGTACTGAAATTCCCCCTAACAGATAAAAAATAATTCACAGAAAGGAAAATCTCAGTGAATGTAATATATATAGGAAAAGATTTTTCCAGGAGTCATACTGCAAGACATCAGAGAACTTGTATCTGGAAGAAGACCTGTAAATATACAGTTGTCCTCAGGCATTGAAGAATATCTTGAGGATCCCCTATTGATATAAAAATTTGCTGATGCTCAAGTCCCTTCTATAAATGTTGTAGTGTTTGTGTATTACCAATTCACTTCCTGCTGTGTATTTTTCATCTTGTGTAGATTACTTATAATACTGAAAAAATGTGAATACTATGTAAATTGTTATACTGTGTTGTTTTTCAGTTGTAGAATAGTTTCATTTACTGTTTTTATTTACTTTTGAGGATTTTTGATAAGTAGTTTCTTGAATCACCAGGTCTGTAACCCTCAGATGTGGAAGGAGGACTGTAATGAGGGTGAAAACATCTTTTCTCCAAAGTCTCAAGGCTGACTATGGTTAGAGCATTTTTGCTTATAACATTGGTGCTCTTTACACAAATGATCTCCATACCAGCCATGCACCATAAAATAAATAAATAAAAATGAAAAGGAATCACATCGTAGCAGGCATTAGAGGATTTAAAGAGGGGAGAAATTCTATATGGGTTAAACTGACTGTGTGTTTTTAAAAATAAAACCACTCTTTTCTCTAGTTTGCATAGCCTACAATCTGAGCATTCCACAATTGGGTGGATGACCATGTAATTTAACTCTGTTCAGGGGAATATAGATATAAGTGGTGAACATTACTTCCAGTTCAGACAACAAAATAAAAAAATTCCATTCAGTTCCTGGTTTCTCATATTATTTGCAACTGAATAAAGATGACTCTTGGGTGCACATGGGGGCCACAGGTGAAAGAAATCCATCCTAATTTAAAATAGAAGAAATTGAAGAAACCAGAGATATTCTCGCCACTACCCCAAAACCTCTGTTTACACATTATATAAGAAATTATTTCCTGTTAAGCCATTTTATGTGTGCCCTGTTTACATTACAACACAAGAGGTGCCCTCCAGCTAAATGATTTTATAGACTTTCTGAGAGGATTTTCCAGTCCTTGTATATGGGAAGAGAATCCTGCATTGTCACCATTTATACCCAAGTCAGTTTGTGGGAAAACCTAATTATGGGGAGAAAGAATGCAATAGATGTGACACTTCTTATTGGGACAGTTTATTGAACAGTGAAAATAAAGTTAAATATCTTTCTAAATCTCTATAATGTGTCAAAGCTTTCAAGAAAACTTTCAACACTTTATGTCAGAATTTGAAATGAAGAGAAAACTATAATAAATATAAGTTTTCAAATATGATAAATGGAGTATTAAAAGTTTTTTTTTTTTTTTAACATTTTCAGTGTTACCAATATTTAAATATGACTTGGTAACACTACCTTCCAGGGGACATTGTCTGAAGACATTTTTGGTTGTCATAACTGAAGGTTGGGAGGTGCTACTCCATTGAGTGGGAAGACACAGATGTTGGTAAACAGCCTACAATGCAAAAGAAAGACACCTCACATGCAACATTTACGCATAAAAATGTTGTTAAAAATGCTTCTTAATGGAACCCAGCATAACTGTGGATAGGGAATATGTACACTTAGTATAATAAATAGTTTGGTTTGACTTCCTTCAGGATTTTTGACCTTAAATGCCACTCTAACTTTGGTATATTTTGTTAAGTATATTAAGTCTAAGGTACAGCGCTACATAGGTTTTTCTTTCTACTCAGAATTTTTGACATTAACTGCCACTCTAACTTCAGTATATTTTGTTAGATATATTGTCTAAGGTACTGCACTACATAGATTTTCTTTTAATAGAAGTTGACCAGTAAGGGGATTTTAACCCTTGACTTGGTGTTGTCAGCACCATGCTCTCCCTAGTGAGCTTACCAGCCATTCCTATATACGGATCCAAATCCATGGCCTTGGTGTTATCAGTACCACGCTCTCCCCAGTGAGCCATGGGCCAGCCCAGATTTTTTCCTACTCTCCCATTTTAGGTAAATTTGTATGACCAGTATTACAAAACTATCTAAGTAAAGGTAATTTCTTATGATGCTTGAAGCTAATGCAAAGTGAGTCTATGGGTTGAACAGAAGCATTTCTATGTGAATGCACAAATTCACAGGCACATAATTGTAAACAACATGTTTGAACTTATTTAAACAGCTGTAAACGGTAATGATTTTCTTATTTTACTCAGAGAAAAGCAGTGCCTGGAAGGGATACTTTTCCTTTATACCTATTCCTCCTGTTTTGAAATGGTGCCAAATCATAGGTATGAGTGTGTACCACATGTCCTATAGCTAAGAAACTTTTGTGTTTCTGTTTGCAGTGATGGAGTGCTATTTTGAATCTTGCCACTAAGAGGTAAATCCCAAATCTACTTGTGCATGGCTGTGCTTGTGTGTAGTCCTCCAGACCTAGAGATGGCCCCAGAGCCTATTTTCACCTAAGGAGACTTCTCAAGTCTGTGGTGACTCCCTGTCTGCCATCAGAGCCCTTGGTGTAGGGGAGATCCAGGCCCCAAAGAAGGGTATGAGCAAGTAAGACAAAATGGTGTCCAGCATAGAACCTGAGGGGTGTGGTTGGTGTCAGGGTCTCTGGGATCCTTTTGGGCAGGGAGGTCATTTCCATCTGCCACCATTCTGTCCCCAAATCTCTGGTAACAGTGGGCAGAGAGTACAGCACCATCATTTATTTCTCATTTTTCACTCTAATGTTTATTATTTTCTTTTTTCTCTTTTGGGAGGTTTAATTTTCCTCCTTTATCTAGGATTTTATTTGGAAGGTTAGGTTATTGATTTCAGAACTTTCTAAAATGTATACATTTACAAATTTAAATTTTACTCTAAGCCCTTTTTAAAATTTTGGTATGTTGTATTACTGTTTGTGAAAATGTTTCAAATTTTAGTGTCATTTTCATGGCTCACTGGCAGTTTGGGAGTTTGTTCTTACTACTGAAGTAACATTCAGTTAATAATTTTCTGTTTAAATCTATTGTGGTCAGAGAACATACACTGTATAATTTCAATCCTCAAATTTATTGAGGATATTTTATGGCATCACAGAGGTCTTTTCTGGAGTATGTTCCAAGGGCTTGAATAGATTGGATATTCTGTTATTGGGTGTTGTGTCTACATATACATATCTGTAAATTCAAGTTGTTTTATAATGTTGTCCAAGACTTCTATACCCTTGTCAGTCTTTTGCTGAGTTGTTCTACCGAATATTGAAAGTTGCACTTAACATATCTGAACATTTACATAGAACAGTCTGTTTTACCCTTAATTTCTTCTCTAATTATTTTTATTTGATGTTGGACTTATTCGTTTTGTACATGTATACCTACAATTGTTATGGTGTCCTCCTGAATGACACTCTTGTCATAAATGACCCTCTTTATTCCTAGTAACATTTTTATTTTTTTGAGCGGCAAGGGGATTGCAACCCTCGGCTCAGTGTGGTCCACACCACACTCAGCCAGTGAGCGCACCAGCCATCCCTATATAGGATCTGAACCCGCGGCCTTGACGCTACCAGCGCCACACTCATCTGAGTGAGCCATGGGGCCGGCATCCTAGTAACAATTTTGTTTTAATTTTGTTTGTTTGGTATTAGTATGGTCAGCTGGTGTATCTGTGTTATGGTTATGTTTACATTGTATACCTTTTCCTGCCCATTAACTTTCAACCTGTTTATATCATTGAATTCAATGTGTTTCTCTTGTGTTCAATATATAGTTTTTTCTTTTTTTCTAATACTATTGGACAAGACTTTTAAAAATTTTTTTATTTTGTTTTACTTGACAGGTTATAATGGTATGTGCTTATGAGGTACAATTTGATGTTTCAACACATGTATACATTGTGAAATTATTAAATCAGGGTAATTCACATATTCATTATCTGACACAGATTTCTTTGTGGTGAGAACATTTGAAATCCACTTTGTTAACAACTTTGAAATATACATTACTATTAACTCTGTTCACCATGCTGTACAATAGATCACCAGAACTTATTCCTCCTGCTGAAGTGAAACTTCATACTCTTGGACCAACACATCCCCACTGATATTTTACCCCATTCTAACCCTCAGTTTTGGTAAACTTCATTCTTCTCTCTATATTAGTTTGACTTTTTTTTTTTTTTCCTTTTTTTGTCTTTTTTCATGTCCGGCAACGGATCGCAACCCTCAGTGTCGCGCCCGTACTGGACCGGGACCAGCAACGGGATCGCAACCCTCGGTGTTGTGCCCGCACCTCACTCAGCCAGTGAGCGGGAACCGGTCCGTATGTGGGATCCGAACCCTCGGCGGGAGTGCCACTGCGCTCCCAAGCGGCGCACAGTAGCAGTGCGCCACCGGGCCGGCCCTAGTTTGACTTTTTAATAGTTCACATATAAGTAAATTTAAGTGGTACTTGTCTTTCTGTCCCTGGCTTATTTTATTTAACACAACGTTTTCTAGATTCTTCTATGTTGCCACAATTGACAATTTGTTTCCTTTTTAATGTATGAGTAGAATTTTATTTTATATGTAAACATTTCTTTTATCCATTCATTCTTTGATGAGTGTTTCTGTAATTTCGATATCTTGACTGTTGTGAATAATGGTGCCATAAACATGGGAGGGCTGACATCTCTTTCTCATACTGATGTCAGTTCTTTTTGACATATACCCAGAAGTGGGATTGCTGGATCATTTGGTTTTTTTATTTTTAGCATTGTGACTACTTTATGCTAGTTTCCAAATTGGTGTTCTAATGCACCTTGTGTATTCACACCTTCATGAACACTTGTTATCTTTTATCTTTTTGATAATGCCTGTTCTTTTTTTTTTTTTTTTGTCTTTTTTGTCTTTTTCCGTGTCCGGCAACGGGATCGCAACCCTCGGTGGTGCTCCCGCGCCTCGCTCAGCCAGTGAGCGGGAACCGGTCTGCATGTGGGATCCGAACCCTCGGGCGGGAGCGCCGCTGCGCTTCCCAAGCGGCGCACTATCCAGTGCGCCACTGGGCCGGCCCCGATAATGCCTGTTCTAACGGGTCTGATGTGATCTCATCGTAGTTTTAAATTGCATTTCCCTCTGGATTAGTGATGTTGACAATGTTTTCATACATCTGTTGGCCATTTCAAGTCTCATTTTAAGAAATGTCTATTCAGGTTTTTCCCTTTTTGAGCAGGATCATTTTTTTATTTTTATTGAGTATTTTGAGTTCTGTATATGCTTTAGATTTAGCCAATGTGAGATGTATGGCATGCAAATGTTTTCTCTGAATCTTTGGGTTGTCTCCTCACTTTGATATTTGTTTTATTTTCTGTGCAGAAGCTTTTCAGTTTGATGGTATAAATTTCTTCTAACTATGAGAATAGCTAAATTGAAGTTTTAAATGTAAAGTCTGTACTTTATTCAGTTTCTTCTCTAGTTTCCGCTGGATGTAAAATTGTTTTGATTGTGTGTCAACATTTCATCTATAATTCAGCTGTAGCTAACACCGTATTATAGTTAGAAAAATGAGAGTTTGAGATTTAGGTTTGTTGCTTGAGGTCTCAGACTGGCTGTAAAGCTTTTCCACCATGCCATATTCTTCCATTCTTCTGTGGAAACCATGCTTACCAGTCTGGAAGACTGGGTGAGCCTCTCTCTTCAACCCCACCATGTTACTGGATTACTTGGCATGGGCTCCTGTCAAGAGAAGGGATCTTTTGTCCTTAAATCAATGTGTTTGGACCCAGGAGATGCACACCTTGACTTCAGTCCTTGACCTTAAAAGGATTAATGCATATCAGTGAATTTGAAATGGCATGACGTATACACAATTTAAGACAACGTTGATTGACTTTCTTCATACTGAATATATTAGATATGCTCCTGTCAAAAAGTCAGTTATGTGTCTTATGTCTGTAAGAGGACAAACTACACACAGCTTCAAATTACATTTCTTTTTCTTCAATAAGCCAGTGGGAACGATAACATGGAACTGACTGGCTTTGGATCCCAGAGCACTGACTTTTTTTTTAATTGTGAGAGTCTGGTTGGTCCCAGATCCTCCAGGCCTATGTGGAGAGGGTCTCAGTCCTTGTCCCTCTGCCTTGGGAGCTCCAAAAACCTATCAGTTCTTACGTTAGCATTCCAGGGACCCAGAAGTTAGGACAACGCTGGTACAGGCTGAAGGCAGAGTGAGGCAAAGTCTTTACAAACAACCAGGGACTTGGGGGTGCTGGGCCAACCTCCATCCCTCCCTCAGCACAGGCTCAGGTGAAGTGGGTTACATAAGAATAATGTCTTTATTTCCCACAATCCTCTCTGG